AGATTGTTAGACTAATGAATAAAACATAAGTGGGAATGATAAAAATGGGGGTGACAATTCCCTGACATCATACTGTATATGAAGTGAACAGGTGTAGCTGTATATGTGACTTATGGTGAGTGAAACAGGAAAACACATGATTCTGCTTAAGAGGAAACGGAATGAACAGCCAGGACGTTAAGTCTCCTGGTAAGACGAATAATTTTGTATTTTAATAGTTTGATGCTTCTTGCGAGTGGGCATCGCAGCTTCGAAAACGTATAGGCAAATCCCAAGCAAAGGCCTCTGTTTTGCGGTTTCAAGGTCATAAGTGGTACGAAACACGAAGTCATCTTTTGTGTCAAGTGCTGTGTGCACCTTTCTTTTTCTTCAAATATGTGCATACGTTTTCGTTTACTATATGTAACCTGGTGAGCGAAATGACCTGACCTTACGGTATGACAGATGTCCTTAGTTTCAGCGGCTTTTTCTAAGTCTCACCTCTAGTCAATGTATTAAAAATGCCTGAACGATACTGAACACTACTTTTTCTATTTGTGTTCATCACCTGTTGTACATTCGACAATGGAGACATAATTCGAGAGAAAATTACAAGTTCTTTAGTTAATTCTTGTTTCGCAATTGTACTCTACATCTAAGTGTGACGTACATCTGCGTGTTAATAGTACTATGAAAAAAGGACCTCTAGACGTACAGAAAAGGAAAGTATAACACAGGATCATCAATCTCAATAACTTTGCTTCGAAGACCATTACCTATGTATGATAATCGTTTATAATACCCATATATTTTGCAATCAATCAATCAATGTAACTGAGTAGTTCAAGACTCAATCTAATACCTGAATCATTCACTTACTTGAGAAGCTGGGTACTGTGGTTAAATCATCCGATTCGGCTAGTTGTGTGTAGTCGTTTGTTTCAGGTTTTTCATTACGGTCTAGATGTCCGATTTTCAACAAGTTTGGCTGAGTTGCGGAGGCCGGCGAATGCTTCCCTGTTATGCAGTCCATTTCATCCGGTCGCCTCAGAGGCCAGATCACAGGGCAACAGTGCGGCAACGAAAAACGGCTTAGTTGAAAATTCCATTCACAAGGCAGCCGATAGTAGATTTGCGGATTGTGAATAATCATGAACACAAATACATCCTGAATTGAAATGAGAGAGAGGGTAATGCATGAATCGCCCGTTGCAGATCGATTCACAATTCACCGACCCTGTCGCGTCATCTATCGGACTTATAAACAACATTAAAACCTTATTTGTATGTACTAAAAGCTCATGGTTTAACTGAGTACATTTTATTGCATTCAAAGATGCTTAGCTATCTGTTTGTTTCAGACATGATGCGTGGTGTATCTCCTTTAGTTTCGGGACCCGCGTCATCCGTCCTTAGCAGGCTGTGTTCACCAAAGATTAGCTTTCTTTTTTTCCAGTACAATGCAAGATTCAATATGCCTCATTTTTGAATGCTGTTGTTTTGCTTGAGTTGGAGCTCTGCTCGATTCTAAGCCTCTTTATATTTGTGTTCAGCACAATTATGTCCCTCTCATATACGCCCTAACACTCACTTCATCTCTTTGGCCACTAGTCCGCCGCCGAGGTGTTACCGTAGTAGACCTATCTAGCACTATAGCGTGGTATCTGTGGTCGATTTTACCTTCTCTTCTGTTCAATTACGAAACTCAAAAGCTTATAGAAAGCCACTCTTGTCAACATTTGTCTTATTTCTGGTATTTATCTATACTGAAAGCTCGCATAAAGTACCTTGAAAGCTCATCTAATGTACAGAAATCTCACCATTATTTCAGGTTTTACAACTGATCAATTCCGATTAAATTTGAAAGGGATTAACATTGTTGTAACCCCAGAACTCCACAGAACTCTCGCAAGCTTACCTGCTCACCATTATACAACGTCCCTTGCCTGGAGATTGCATAGAAAAGTTCACTCAGCCACAATGTACTCCACATATTGTGTCGCATCTTTTTCAGGTGTAGAAGTAATACACCACCATTGACACCAACAATCTGAAATGACACCATGATAAAAGTGAACAAATTGAGAATCAAGGTGCTTATTAGCAAAACACTCAATCAAATTTAGCTTACCACGTCCTTCTTTTGGTCCGTGTGAGTTGACAAGTCTCAGAGCCACAATCACGCAAGATTTCAAGATTTCAAGAAATAAATCCAAGAAGCCAGCTGGGAATTGACGAACTCACAGAAATGAAAACGACTCCCTCAGATCATGACACGGACATTTTTGTGAATTCGCATCAACTAATTCACAATTATGGTGAACCAACTGAAGGAAACATATGCTCAAGTGTTGGCTATCAATCTGGTTTATCTGCGAATTGGTTTCAGGCCACAGTCGGAAGACTCAAAAAACGTTTCAAACAAGCATGGGGGAATCATGTAATTGTATCAAATGATGAAGCGACCGTTACTGATGAGATATCGAAACCATCGATAGTGCAGTTAACTGGTTTCTCTTGGTGAACTCACCAAAATGAAATACTGTGCATATAACGATTTTAAGTGGTGAAGGCTTTGGTATTTAGTTTCTGCAAGAATTGAAATAAATTATCCATTATCTCAGTAAATGTTATATTAAATTTTGCTCAACTATTCCCACCGCCAAAATCTGGACGAAAACCCATATTTTCGAGTTAAACCTTCGGTAGATCTGAAATGTAGACCGCTTTCGTATGCTTTTTCGATTATCTGATCAATTGTACCGATTGCAATCACTGAGGAGATAATCATCAAACTGTAATATATTTTTTATTCCAGTGGATCATTGTTTGACTCAAAGGAATCATGTGTGGATGTGAGCGTGTTTGCAGAAACACGACGATTTGACACCTGTGTATCGATAGTTATTAATCTATATTATACTATACCGAATTACTACTACCATGTCCGTAAGAAGTTGATCAAAACGCTTTCTTTCGTATACCCTCCACAATTGAACATAGACTTGTGCAGTGAAGAATCGACGAATAAACTGAGGCTGATACATACAGCTGCATAAATGAACAGGACATATTAATTATTGAGCGTTCAGCGTTTGAGTATAAATGATCGTTCGATTGATCATGACTGACATGTTTCAATATTTTAATATTTTCAAAGCAAGTAAGAAATACAGTTTTCCACAGTCTAAATCAATCTCCCATCACGTCTGTTATACCAAAGTTGATGATCTAAGAGTTTCCTTTTTTTCTGTTCCGGTATGCAACCTTGGGTAGACGGCTGTTTCTCACATAAACTCTCAAGCAGACATTCATAACCTACAGCCACTTGGAGTGTTATCATAATCTAGCATTTTTATGATGCAAATACTAACAAGTAATGAACAATAGAATCGATAGTTTCTTTGTGCTAGAAGGTATTGGTCAAACTCCAGCAACACCATTACTTTCATCACCTTTGTTCCTCCCAGAGCTTACTGTTTCGTGCCTCATTCGCGATATCAGATGACACAAATCTGTAAAAATATCTACTGATGCTTTTGCTCCTATTAGTCCGATAGCATATAAATGTAAGATCCCTCGATTTCAGCGACGCTGGCTGGTGCATCTGTTGTAAAATAACAAATCGTTAATGGTAAACCATTAGAACCTATCCATAAAAACGGCTCATGGGCAAGAAACAGGTATTTTACTTTTATTTTATCAACGTGTGTATTTGTTGTATTATACTTAATATTGGTCGTTTGCAAATTTTCTCAGCTGCTACCCCCAAAACAAATATTCATTCAGGGGGAAATTTCAGGCGAAAAGTTGTTTTCAATAACTCATCATCATGCTGGTACACCTTATGTGAGGGGATAAATCCTAGAGGTCGAGAGGATAACATTGCATTGTAAAGAATAGATCACTTCTTGCCGGTTTGGGTATTGCACACCACATTCTCAGATCTGTGCTTATTAGGACGAATAAACTTACCTGCTGCTTTTTGTAATTTTTTTTTAATTCTGAGCTGTAACCCTCAAACATTTACACATTTTATTGTAACATTCTAAGTCGTGCAAAATCAAACGGTAATACTATAAATAACCAAGATCATTGCTGTAGAAGATAAAGTTCGCAATGAATGCTCTTCACCCACGATATGTATGCGGGTATGATACTGTAAACTAAAAGAATGTATTTCGAAAATGAGAGTCACGTTGCACTGGTTCGATCAACACCTGCCTATTTTGGAAACACGGGAAAAATTGTATACTTTAATTAGTAGGTACGTGTAATCCATGTTATGTGAAGATATTCTTCAAACGGCAATAGTTGACTGAGACAAGATCAAAAACAGACACTTGAAAATGCCGAAGAAAATTTAAAAAGGTCTCAAGGAGTCATATGCATGTGGTTAAAATAACACGTTAGCATCCAAAGGAATGATCGACCAACCCCTGATGTCTGAGAGCTACCATAATGAATTATTCATTTCATCTTAACTCTCTCTCTCTAGCATGTCATTACCTGACTAATGAAATTTGAATACTTTTTTAAACACCGGGTCCACTTTGACTGAGCATGGTTATTTATATCCAGTCAAAAACAACAATAATAAGGTAATTACCTTGACAGATCGATTAGTATTCATATTGCACCGGGATATAGTGTAGTCTTGTTCCCACGTCAATCCGATTGCCTAGGGTTATTTCAATAGAGAAGTTTAATTTGTGGACCAAGCGTAGACGCCATTTTTGAACTGATTCTCACTGATTTCCGGAAGACTGACCTGTTGGGGTGTGAACTTTTCAAATTGCTTCCACAAGTCAAGGATGTTATAGTTGAACAGAGTGTCCGTGTCCAATACGATCACCTGAGTTGAGACAAATGTTATGGGAAGGTGGAAATAATGTGGAACGATTGTAGCTCGCGATGTGGATGTTGGTGGTGGTTTGCTCTCCGAGCTGGCCGTGTTGGTCGCAGACGTTTCGTAGCCTGGCTAGGCAACATCATCAGTGCATCAGTGCTTCACCGAGGTTGCACTGATGATGTTGCCTAGCCTGGCTACGGAATGTCTAGGAAAAACACCTCCAGCTCGGAGAACACACCAACAACAACATCATGGGGATGTATCAGAGCCTTTAACATAAATTATTGATTTATTTATCACACAACAAGGTCATAGACAGCAAAAGGGGAAAAACTTAGTCATGAGGACCTACTATTCCCTCATGGAATCTGGAAAACTTGGTCCATGCATTCGAAGGGTCGAAGCACCACAAGTATGGCCAGAACAACGGAGAAACTACCTACTAATACATTTGGGAAATTGTGGCAGGGTTCAAACCTAGAACTAAAGAGCCTACAGCACGGAAATGACAGTGACTTACACTGTTTGACGACCGAAATCACGACCACCACCACCTCTATCAACACTACCAGCGCCACAACCACCAGAACTGTCACCACATTGTGGCGAAACGAATGCATGAAATATTACTGAAAATTCCAAAGCTCAGGTTTCGTCTTTTTTCTTCTATGTTGTTAAAAAAGCGAATTTTATCTATAATCATCAAAATGGTTTACGCAGATTCCTTGTGTTCATACATATCATGTACACAGCTAACGAATCAGAGGGGAGGAGTGCATACATGGATTTCCACTGACTTGAAATTACGGAATCATAATTTCATCTAACAAAGAGTAAAGAAGCATAGATCATTTCTGAACAAAAGTAAGTGCTAATTCAGATGATAAAAATCTATAAACACCACACTAGCTTCAACTGTAGGAGATCAAAACCGGAAGTCAAATGGTTGTTGAGATATTCCTACTTTAAGATCTTTGATCTGCAAAAAAGCTTCAAGTTGAAGGTGCAAGCACCGCACGATCACCAACAGTGCATCCTTTAAAATGGACTGTTAAGCTTCCATATTTTAAATATGCACACAGTGGTTGAAATATAGTTAATTTGTAGAGTTTTATCACCTATCATTCTTCTAATACACATTTTATGTACGTGATTAATGTTACGGTACATATACTTGAGCGAAAATCAAATACCATCACAGTATTTTCTTCAGTCAGTTGACTTACCTTCTCAACTGAGGACGGTAAAATATCTGTAATGATGAGTCTTAGCATAGCGTAGATACCGGCACGATGTTTGTTCGGAATCCAGTCGATTTGCGGCTAATATCAGAACGAGAGAGATCAATATTTCAAATTTTATCAGAGGAAAACGGTACAGTTTTTTATTCTGACTTGAAAGTCATTAATTAGAAGATATAAAATGTATATGGGGTTCTTTACATAATAGTGATGGCTAACAGAATTGGTAAAAATCACAACTCATAATAATACAACAGCTAATTCATCAATTTAAAGAAAACTGTGATTTTCACCCTTTCACAATTCTATGAACTGGATCAAGGAAATCGTTTTGTATCTGAACATGAAAAGTATAAATCTTTTTGTTATTTTACGCTGATGCACTACACGTAAGTACAGAATCTGAGGGGTGTGAAAAATAAATTAGCCTGAGGATTGACGACATTTTTTCTAAATCGGAGCTGGATTACCAGTTCAAAGTAACATCTCACCAGATGGGGTTCACTCCGATATACAGTCCATCTGACATTCTTCAAATGCCATTGAAGTATGAATGACGTCAATTGTACTTCCGTTATTTGATCGCATATGACATGCACATGAAGTTTTAGCGGTGATAGTGGCTCAGTCCACCGAGGACAAATCGTGGTTGTGATATTTGGTATATAGCTTTGACATTTGCTCCTTTTAGACCGAAACCATCCCGCGTAGTAAAACATGCTCTTCAGCATGGTTTGTGCGCGCCACACACTCTGCAATCCACTGACCGTCATGGCCACATGTACCACATTGTCGGTTGTAGAATCTGTGTAACTTGAGTTCACTTGCCATTTGAACTGAAATAAAAAGAAACCAACATTTTTAGGCAGATAGATGAACAAAGTAAAACAGTCAAACAACAGGCTTTGATTTGCAAGAACCATTAAGAATGTACAGTATTTCGTATGTTTTAAAAATGAAAGCAGTTTTAGAATTCAGGGCAAATTTTAGAAAAAATGTGACAATCATTTACGGGTTGATTGCAACAGAAAGAATGACTGAATCTGTTCACTTTGCACTGCAGGTCGTTTTGTAACAGAAGCAATCAACTGCTGATAGCTTCTTTCTCCTCAACAACCATTCATAATTAAATATTATAACAATACAAAGAAAAAACTGGAAATATCGCTTACAAGTGACAAAATACCACTTACGACATCGAAACGAACTCTAGGAATACATTGGCTATCAACCAATGGAGTTCTATTTTCAGCTAACTACACACATCCAATCAATGCATCAATTGATTCAGTGTAACACATACGAACCTGCAACTGGTGCAAGGTAGCACTATCATATGAATTAATATGCATCATTCCCATTTGACCAGCAGCATGTTACATCACTCTGAAGTCAGCAATTGCTTCCACCGGTCTTGCATAAACAAGACGCGCGCTCGCGCACACACCCAAACTTTCCCTTAACTTTTCCGCATCAATGCTCTCCAGATTGACCTTTTTAATCATTACCGTCTCCGAGCACTTTATGATGATGGCACTAGCAATTTTTCATTGGCAATCTTGAATCATCTTGATATGTACGGTTGGGAACAGAAAAGGGAACAACCTTGTGGACTGCAAATTTCCTTGCTGAACATAATCGAGAGTCCCACAAGCAAATGTAAAGTAAGAATTTCTTCTTACCTTTTTTTCATATTTGTTTCCCTTTTGAATATGGATATGAATTTTCAGGAAGGGTAAACGGTCAATCAAAGGACTGCCATAAAACACATCATGGGGAAAATCAGGTGTCGGCGATGGTGTTGGGATTCGAACACAAGTCATCCGAGGGGATCGGCTGGTGACCTTTAGCACCTAGTCGCCATCGAGCAGTGAGATTATTCATGGAGAATGTGAGAGTTTTGCAACCCACATGGAACAGACCAAGAGGATTCTTAAACTTCTGACTAGCATCAGTATGATGTCGTTGATTATTGTAGTATTTTGGCTATGATTTCAGCCATCACCAAAAGTAAAAGGCTCCCTACCTTTGCCCTAAGTCTCCTATACACCGCTGAACCGAGCTTGACCTAATAGGTTGGATAAATCGTAGTTATAGCCAACATGTTCGCACTGGGTTCTTCTATGGCATCATTACCAGGCAGTTCCTTGATTCGATACATGATGTTGCACTGTACTGGAATAGAGTCTCGCTTGTAGTACAGCCGTTGCATTTCTGCCATCGTTCCATTGTACAATTTTCTCCCCATGGCCTTAATTGAATCGCAAATCTTCGGACTGATAAACCCCAGTTTTGATGAAGACGTTGACTAGTTCTTTTCCAGACTACGGAAAACAACATTTCTTTGCAATTCAACGCTTTAAATGTACGGCTGCATCAATTCCATATTCGCCACAAAATGTGCTACTGCACAAGAAGTAATTAGGCATTAGTTGTGCGTACGAAAGTGAATTATTGCCCTGCCGCAATCATGTTCTTTCACATACACTTTCGGAAACAATGACTGTGATACGAGGAGGGTCAAGAAGCAAATAAGAGTTGTGTATACCATGAAAAACTGGACGCTTTCGGAAAGCCACTATTTATCGGAAAGTGGAACTTAAATTTCTGCCACTAGGTCTATTGAACGTTACCTGGACTTTGTGGAGAGGTTACCATTTTGGGCTTTACGGTTGATTGCAAAGACCGCCAGGTTACATTAATTATAGAGAATGCTTACTCTCGTCATAGAACAAGCCAGCTTGTAGACTAGCCACATACAAAGACTAGGTCGTAGACAGGACGGCACTCTCACACAGACGTCATCCATCATTCTCATTTCTTTGAGGTAAAAAAGAAGAAGAAACCGATCATTTGCTCGGCCCTTTTTGGGTAAGGAAAAAGATCATATACCTTGATATTTCTATTTGATAACCTGTAATATTCACATTACTTTCTTAGTATTATACATTAGTGTAGTGTGGTGTGCACCCTATGACACACAGTGAAACGAATTGCACAATATCACTTTATTGTTTCCTCCGTGAAAACTTACTTTTAAGACAATAACTAATTTTGAATGATTATTCGTTGAGGCATTACTTTTAGTGAGTAGTTAATCAGAGCTATTCCAGCTGTTGCATCCAAAACGGCTAGCTGTCCATTAAAAACAGTTTGCAAATCCTCTACACGCTTCTGACCTGCGTATATAGACATACCGGTGATTTCAGTTAAAGTCAGTACTGTAGGTTTTGTTTCCATTAAGAAAATTTGTATCTTTAGACACGTTTATGTGAGCTAAACAAGAGAAAAATCTCGACATAGTACCATGTTGATAGCTCTTTTGGGAAAGTTTGTTGGTATGACCAAGGATTTATGTTTGATTGATGTCCCTGAAACAGAAAATTATTTCACTATACCCAATCTTGAAATTATTAGATCGCACTGTTCCATGGGCCACATTTTAGAGCGAATTTATTGAAACTTAGCATTCCCAACAAGGAAATTGAATGCTACCTACAGGTTTTAGCCCACGTTTATTCACAATAAAGTAAACGCTGTAAAACTATGACCTGCGGTTTAAGTTACGGATAAATGGGTATAAACCAGTAGCTTCGAAAAACGATTGGAAATAACTAAAAACATCCAATATGAACGTAATATGTCTTGTTCTAGTCTTACCTCCGATTTGTCTAACAGCTTAGTTATCCATAAATGTTTTTAAATAAATTAGAGCAATTTACGTAGAACCGAGATTTCCGAACATTGTAATAAAAAACCTAGTTCAACATTAGCGTCTATAATGAGGAAGTAAAATAAATTTACACAAACGATTGGTGAAATGGTCACATTCTTGGGGTTCCTGGACGTACCTCATGTTTCTCGCTGCTGGAACCCTAACTCGATGCATCTTTATCCGTAAAATAGATTACTCCATTTCTAATGGACAACACTGTTTCCATTTATACACAAACAAAACTGTGCACTTCGATTTCGCAACTCTACAACGTTGAACCAAATTAAAAAAATTTAAATCGACAGCAATAGAATTCTTCAAGTAATTCATACACAGAACACCGTTGGGGCTAAAATGCATTATCTCCGATCACTAAGTGATACATAACAGCACTCACAGTGTGAGGAGAACGGGACGCATCCCACATCCATAATATGAACGTCATGAAAATTCCAGTTACGAAGACAGTGGATGTCCTTTTAATCAATTTGCCATTCATTGTGTCTAAGTATTATCAATCGAAGAATCACTGGAACAAATACTGTGAGTGTCGAGTAAGCGACAATTTATTTGTCAAGCAAGTCTTGTTCTGGATGAATGACATAATCCAGTACGAATCTGAATGGAAAAAAAATCAATGCATGTTGAAATTAGTTTTGTAGACTAGACATGCATATTTGCGCAGAGAGATCTAGAGTTTGAGTGGTTGATTTCGCTGATCAATATTTCTAAACACGTGAGCACAATTATAGTAATATATATGGTAGTCAGTGAATTGTAAAACAAAAAGATCCAAAGCGATAAACGAATCGTCAATATTTATGTAGGCAGCAAACACTATGATTTGACGCAACCTCTCAACATGCTTGTCAAGATTATCATCCGCAATGTGTTATTCATAACCACAAAATGGGTTCTTGCTGTGATTC